ATCTTCGCACTCTGGGGCGTTGGGTTACAGTAGGGTTATTTTATTCAATTAAGATGGATTCCTTGATTTTTCGTTTGTTCATGTTGGTTCTTTGTTTAAAATGACTGTGTTTTTAATAGTGAAAAAACATGGGACGGTTTTTTATTGTGTTCTGTCAACCTGTTTTCCAATTTTCTTCCTGTTTCTCCAATGTAGAATTCTGGGCAGTTATTGAATGTTATTTTATAATTGACGTTGGTATTGTGTGACGAAAAATCAAGAAATCCATCTTAATTCAACAAAAAACAACCCTACTCTAAACCAACACCCCGTAGTGCAAAGATACCTCTTTGTTGAATACTGTATAGATATATCAGTGTCAATTACTTGTACCTGATGACGTCGAAACGTTGTACGTTAGCTGTTATGTTAAAGTTTTTCTTCGTTACCCATTCAAGCCATTTCCAACCATTATTAATAGCCTATAACCTTCTTATCTTTCACAGTTCCTCAACTTTAACAAATACCAGTAACCTTTTGTCAACACTATTACTGTAAAAGTAATAAAGGTTATCTTTAATTATATACAAATAATACAATCCAGTTAGCCTAATTTGTATCACAACCTACCTATAACTATGGGCTCAATTTAATCCTTAAAACAGACAATAAACTAGTTTTCAGATTGTATTTATTTAATAAAACAACATCTTTAATCTGTTTTAACGTTCTACTAAAATTTACAAAACCAATAACTTTGCATCTGATTATTCTTCTTCTCTCTACCTCTCGAAGCTTTCTTTGGTTAGGAAAAACGTGTTATGTCTACGTTCACTCGAACATCAAACAATTCCAAAACCTACTTGTATCACTTGATTTACTTGACAAAAAACAAAGACTAAATCATACAGGTGATGACATATATAATAACAAACTTCACGAGTATATTTCTACCGTTACTTACTAGAACAGGTACGTTTAGGACTCTAATCTTGCCTTTAACTTCACCATCTCTTGCTTAAGTTCTGCACTGTGTTTTCGTAGATAACATATCAGATCTGCTTGTTTTTCTACAAGTTCCTCCTTGTAATCGTGAGTACTGTAAAATACAAACAATTTCCTAAAATGTATTCGCATCCTAAAAACCGTAAACACTGACATATCTAATCTATACAGACTTGTGTAAGCTCCCGGAGCAAAGAACCTCAAACTTTACACGCAGACTAATACAATTCTGATGGTTTTATTTCTTCATGGCAAATTCATAAACTTCAATTCGAACCACAAAAAAACAATAACATTCAACGAGTATTCAATCGGTAAAAAATATAATAGAATATACGATAAAAACGTGCGTCATACACAGTATCTTTAGATAAATAAAAAAAAAACGTTCCTTATCCACGTGTTTCGTACTTTTCAAATCCTTCTTCGCAAACTTCTGAAGGTCTCCATTCATATTGACTTTGTTATTAAACAAAGCTGCTGGTAAAATAATTGAAACAAAAACGGCAACTTAACAAGTATATTTCGTGCATCGTCTCACCAATCTCAACCCCCAAACCCATCGTGATGTCGAGCTTTGAAAATTTGCTAATAACAAAAAGTCCACGTAACGTTATTTTTAATCCTAGTCTTCAATGTCAAGATGCTCTAACAAAAGATTTCAATTTTTTCTTGACCCATCCTTAAACTAAACTTACACGTATGCCATTCTCCTTCTATTATTCGGTTTTCTACCTTAAAAGTAATGTGATTACGTCTCCAAAATGTAAATGATTGGCTTAAGCTTACTCTCCAGCATGACAAACAGCTCCAATGAATATTGCCACACACTCGTCTCTATCACCACTTTTTACACAATTTTATCCTACACCTTTCACCTTTTGGTTCCCACGCCGACAAACTTGCTAAATATCTTGTACGTGCATTGAGGTCACTAAGAACGAATTGACTTTTAAAAATTCGTTATGGCCAACTTTCATATATTCAACAAATAATTAATAAACAGTTAATCCCTACCAAAAAAATATTCCAACACCTTCGTAAATTCACCCCTCGAGGACAATCACTTTGTTTTTAGTGGTCATCTTTATGACCAGATGGATGGAGCGGCGATGGCATCAACTCTACGTCTGATCCTCACAAATACGTTTCTACATTATTACAACAAACCACTATTACGTACAAGGTATGTTCGTCATACATTTCTACGTTACAATACCTAAATACTCTCTCATTGCCACATCTAGTTATACACTCGTTTCGACAGTCTCGTATCAGACTCCTTCAAACATAACCTTCTTCTGCCTTGAACCCAAATATCAAAACATTTTACCCACAAGGTAAGCTACGCTCTACCCATTCGCGGTAGCTCTAAAACTACACGTCACCTACAAATACGGATACAAGCTAACTAATCCACTAGAGTCTTGTATTTGATCCCCAAATGGGAATAACTATCATCCCATACTTTTAGAAAACCATAAAACCCCCGAACCACACAAACTCATTATTAAAGAAGGCCTCTCCATATTCGATGATCACCCAACACTAAATAGTTTCTCTTAACAGTGATATTTATCAAAACGTGTCTATATGACTTCGATTGGTTTTGGTTTGAAGTGAATTTCACGATGACTATCCCTAATTTGGCAGTGAAAGACTAAAGGGACTAGTCATCACTGCTATCTCTTGGGCTACTCTTTTTACCAACGAATAGTGGGATTGACTGTTACATTATACAGCTCACCCACGACCCTCAGACCAATTCTACCTTCCAGGCTTTAATTATGATTCTCCTCTTGAAACTGTCTAAAATGAACGTGCCACTACAACGAGGTTCAACAACAAAAACACAATTTATACACAACTAGCTGGAATACTCGTCCTCTGGATGAAAGTTATGTAAATTCATAATTAATCAAAAGGTTATCTTAGGGCACGAAAAGTTGCTTCCCTAATACGTAACGGCAAAACACAAAATTTGAAACCGCAAACTTTCAATAAACCTTTGTGCTAAATTTGCTGAGGTAGTGGTAAAAACTGAATGTACCCCCGCTTGGACCTAATGAACATCCACATCCTCCAAAGTACTTATATAGATAACAACATTTAGAAATAAATTCAACCCAGTTAATAAACAAGTTCCTGGCCAGTACTTCACACCAATATTAATAAATAATTCATCAATAATAATGGAACCAGAAAGAAAAATACAGCAATTACAATATTCAAACAACAATAACTATCTCATGACTCTCTCTGTTAGTGAAGCTTCTGGCAGGGTATTTATTCAGAGAGTAGGTCAGGAGAGTACACCCTAATATGATTAGAGAAACTGGTTTCAGTTTCATCATACACACACACATATTTACTCAAAATACAAATCATTATGTAGAAGGTGAGTTAGCATTTTAATGAAACTAAAAATTCATAGATAAACTAAATTAATTAAATTCAATTTACTATCTTACAACCTATCACTTGCAGCAACTGCCCCAAATGAAAGATAGGAAACACTCCAAATGCAAGTCGTTTCCAAAGAAACATTAGATGATACAACTCGTGCAGCCAATACCAAATAAACATTTTCAATTCTTCCAAATCTAGGTAGTACTCAACATGAGAATCGTGAAGTTTGATGTTTTTTGTGAATCGACCATCTTCTGGCTTTCCTTGACGATAAAGTGGGTATCAAGTCTGTGTCCCTTTTGAGGAGTTCTCGTGGATACCTTTTTGTGCATTTGTTATATTTCATACGTTGTGAGTTTGGATTGATGCTTGTATGGTAACCATGCACCATCTGTGTTGCGACAGTGCTGAACAGAAGTGTGTAAATCTGTGGTCTGGAAGTTCAGCACTGATGAAGCCAAAGCAGAAAGTGAACATGTAGTAGGGCATTCTTTAGCCAAAAATCTTCCCCTTGTTGACGAGATTCATCAATACCCATACGTTTTGTGGGAATACTCTTGCCAGAAAATGATGGCGTTCAATAGCCACTTGCTCTCAAGCTGGGTTGCAAGTAAAGGTGATGAAAAGATGAGGACGACCATAATTTTGCACACCTGTCACGGTTTTGATGCAAGTAGTGAGGACCACCCGTGAAACTAAAAGGCAAGATGACCTATTGGTCAACATTTGCAGCATACCCATCATTCTTCACGGCATCATAGTTTTTAACTCAGAGTTGTTGTAGTTTTTCTGCTTCAAGTTTCATTTACGCGTCCACAGCGAATTGGTGGAGGAGATCTTTACATTGGGAGATGTGATAGAAAAACATCGTCTTGTGTGGAGGTAGTTGTTCCCAAGTTGCAACGCAATGTTTCAACTGCCACGTTGTTCACCAGCCAGGATGTTGTGGGCACTTTAAAGTGCCACTCACGTTCATCGTTAGGCTTGCTTTGCATTGTCACCCATAAATAACAAACATAGAGTTGGCCACGAGAAAAACATGGGCTTTGTAGGTTGAGGCTGACAACTTTGAGACAAAGCTGAGGCAGACAGGGAACTGGAGCCTTTTAAATTGAAATGGCAGGTGAAAGAAGATTATTGGAATCTGTGGAATGAAAACATCCTGTCAACATGGTAGCTGCAATGAAATGCAGCAGGAGTTTTTTTGACAGCCAATCACATTCCATTGCAATGCGTGGGTGAGTCCAGATTCCTGAGAAGCAGGATGGGTGCACCAGCCTCGAGGTGAAGATTGTGTAGAGGCACACCTGGTGGTTGCAGAGCTGAGAAATTCTGTTGAGTGGTCGACTGCCACATTGGTGTCTGGTAGAGTGTCCTCAAATGATATCAGACCTTTGACCTCACGCAGGTGGAGGTAAAAGCATTTAAAATTGTTTGGATGCACAGTGTACAGAATACAAAGTGCATCGTCGGCTTTGACGTCTGATATATTTTGTCCTGCTTTGCAGTTCACCTAATTCTTGTTGCCAACATTTCATCCATAGCACTTGGTTACCAGATGATAAGACAGTGTCTGAGCAAATTCATCATCCCTGCAGAGATTTAAGAAAGATTGATTTGTTTGATGGATTTGAGAGAGTCCCCGGGTATTACCAGAACGGAAGACAAGATACAAGTAGAATGTATAAAGGTACTGGTACTGCAAAAAAAAAAACAGACGTACTGTTTTGAAGCATTCAATAAATATGAAATTAAAAGGTGGGGTAGATTTTATCTTATTGTATTTCACTTTAGTAATAAATTCTGTGTACGTACTTAGTTTTTCCCAGGTTTTGCTTGTGTGATTGAAACGGTGAAGTTTTGAAGATAAAGTTGAACATTAATCATTAGATAAGGTTATTTATTTTGATTATAATACCGTATCATTGCAGTAAGGATTTGAAATGACAAATTATTGCAGTGTTTGACAATTTTATATGCAAGTGTCACCATGAAAAGGTTCTTGTTATCTCCAACTCTGGTACAATGCTGGCTAGTAATTACTAATACGAACCTTTCCATGTATATATAGTAGTTGAACCTGTTTAACAGCTATGATTGTTTATTGTATCACATATGCAAGTCCCTAGCTTATCACTGCTTGTTCACTTACATGTATCCAACTTCTGAAGGGCTTTCTTCAAATTGCAGGCTATTGATCAGATTCTCTTGTTGCTGAACATCTGGAACTTTCGTACTTTTCGCAAACTTCAATGTGATAACTGAAAATAAAAAAATCAACACCCACTTATCAAAAGTTAACAAAACCCTGGACTCCTAACTTTAATGTACTTCCACTCAAAACCCGTCGTATAGACTGCCCCATCCAATTATCTACCAACTAATCCATTTTACACAAATTTGTCTTTACGATATTAAACGGTGCACTTTCGACTTAACTTCGGTGGAAACGATCTTCTTCTACACTACGTATTAAGAGCATTTTCCCCTTCTTAAAAAAGATACATACCCAAGTACTGAACCAGGCACACGAATGCTATCACTGCTTCGACGCACACCAGGATTTGGATAAAATGTATAGGCTTTAGAGACAGAAACGAGAAGCAGTCATGTAGGTTTGGACACTTGTCTTGAACCACAGTCACTACCAACAGAAGAACACTGTTTCCTGAAAAAGTAGATACACAAACATGCAAATCTTTAGAAAGAGTTAAAGGATCGAGTAATTCTTCATCAAAATTAATATGTTTTATACCTTTTGTCTGTATTGTTTTATATACATGACCTGTAGTTTATAGGATTTCGTATCTAACATATTTTGTTATTGTTAACCATAATTGGAGGAATGCTGTAAAGAAATTGGTAAACCGTTTCTGTATTAGGGTGTTGGAAAGTATTTTTGAGTGCACTTTCTCCTTCTGAATTGTTCACAACCTTTAAAAAAGAAATGTTGGTAGCGATTGCACAGGTTGAAAATTTGATTGAACGGGGGAGGTGGCCAGTCTTATTGTTTGAAGAAAGTTCAATTTGTGACAGATCTGTGTTATGAAAAAACAAGCATGGTCTTCATGATTTTACAGTCTTGCAGTGAGGTGATTCGTACTATTCTGGATGTATAGAAAGCATGTGTAAAAGAAAGTTTTGGATATTTATGAATTATTTTGTATTTTACCTAAATTCTTTCTTTCTTTTTTTTTAATGCTGACATTGTGTCAATTTGGTATGCGTAGCATTATACCCGGTTTCCAAATCATCACACCGAATAACAACAACAACAACAAATAGTATCTATTGGGTTTGTCCGGTATGTTTTACATCTGAAATGGTACGTCCAAGTTGGTGAAAGACTAATACCTCCCATTTAAATGAATCGCCACAACTTCCTGAGTAATCATTCCTGAGCCAATTAAATATTCTGTTTCACGTTTCCTACAGTGGGTACAAGAGAATCGAATAGGGTAACTATACTGTATAACGCCCCAACCAAACACGTTAATGTTAGCTCTAAACTCAGATGTATCCTGTAATGCTAATCTTCAATGACCGTGTTTCACTACAGTTTATTTCGATTATCAGATCCCATGATAATCTGTGACGCAAGGTCGAATGCTCTCTCAAAGACAATCTGCGGACAAACCGGGTTCAACAAAGGTCAAACTGAAAAATTACATCTGTTCCCAGCCAAGTTACTCGACACAGACAAAGAAAGTGAAATCAACTTACGTATTTAACTTTAAGATCTCTTTTCTCCCCTGACATCCACTCTAACTTCGGTATCAAGCTACTGATTCAAACCCTGCTTCTACACTATACTTTACTTACAATAAACTTTTTTGCCATACATTAGAAATTTAATTTAAATAAAAGTAGAAACTAATAATTCATTATTTCTTTAAAAGCTTAAAAAAAAAAAAGGAAAAAATTGGTATTCAGTATTTGTATCGTGACAATGTTGATGAGATACTTTTACTTATAATACTTGTCTACTTTGTGGCAACAGAACTAAAATTTGGAAGAAATACGTGTACAAAATAAAAACAGATAAAACAAACTTCTTAGTGCCACAACATGTAAAATCAAGTATGCTTTAACGTATGTCATCTTTCGGACATTAGTTACTAAACCCCAATTTTCTGTTATTAAGGTTCTGTCTTTAAAATATACAGAAAGACCTACCTGTTGAATAAACATATAACACAATTCTCCTTAAAAACTTGGTGGCCTGATAGAAATGAATGTGGCCAAAACAATACAGAACATTGTGATAATAGCGTAAGTAAAGGTCTCCCAGGAAGAAGAAGAACCAAAGAATCACATGGCAATAGATGAGTAAGAAGTAGGGTTTCACTCCACACAAGTCTTCAGATGTACAAATTCCCGGAAGAAAGAATGACACGGCTACCAATGCAACCTAGAAGG